CTTTCTTTAATCATAAATTTTTTGAAAAAAATTTAAATTCAAGAATCTTTAATAAAAATGTACTATTTATATTGATGTAATAATATATTTAACTAATTCTATTAGAATCAGGATAAGAATAAGACGCTGAAAATCTGAAGTCACAATCATCTTATTCATGATTCATTATGTTTTACGAATGATTTGTTTGTTTTTTGTAACTGAACTATTGTCATTTGTACTTAAAATGAAATAAATGTTAATATATATTATAATTTGACTAAAATAATTTAAAATTTGGCGATAAAAGAAGCTTTAGCAATGTGTAATTCAGTGCAGCTACAAAGAACAATGTATTTATATAATATACAATAAAGAATATGTGAGTGTAAATATAATAAAATTATTTTCTTACAACTTTGCAATAAATTTTTAATAAGAGTACATTGTTAAATTAAATTAGAATTTTTCTCTAATAAATTAGATTTATTGTCTATATTTAGCCGTTTCACCACCACTCTAACACCCTCCGTGATGTCCTGAATGAACTTCAACATTTGTATACGTACTTTGCCGCTTTTAATGCCGTTGAGATTGTTCAAAGATTTTTGTTTTTGCTTGAGACATCTGTTTCGAATAGCATTGTCTTCGTTGTGTACATGCATCAAGTCGTAATAAAACTCTTCTGTGATATCCTGTAATTTTCTTGGTGAATCATGCTTTGATGATGAACTTCGTAAAGTACGACGAGTCCTGTTCTTTCTTTTCGAATTTTTTACATGTGTGTTTCTATTCATTTCCGAAACGTTCTTATTGATCATTGCACAAGATTTCTCATTATTATTAATTTTTTTCGAATTAATTGTGATATTTACTATGTTGGAATCTGTACATTTATCTTTCAAGTTATCCGTTTCAGAAATTGTGTCCTCCATCAATGCCATAGATTGCATTTTCTGTTCATTCTGTTGAAACATTCCATTGCTGGTCGTTGAAGATTTGCGTGCTCTGCATCTATGTCGCAAAACATTCTGCAAGGCTGGTGACATTTGTTCAATAGTAATAGATTCGTTCGAAACTATTCTCGGAGCATTTGCCTCTCGGTGAGATAATTCAATCGAATTAGAGTTCTCAGAAATTACAGAAACCGTGGACATTTTACTTGAATTTAACAAGTAATTTGATGGTGAAGAACTATATTGTTCTTCCATCGATTTATCATATTTGTCTATCTCTTCGATATTTCTATTAATTAGTGATGCTGTATTTTGCAATCCTGCATTTACTTTCTTAGACAGCGAAATCTCAGGAATATTATCCCAGAAATAATGTTCTTGTTTTCTAATTTCGATGTTATTTTTATAACTTTTATTTTGCTCATCATCACTACCTTGCCATTCCATTAATTGTTCCCGATTTTTTATCGAGATTTCGCTTGCTGAACAACTATTACTAATCTTAGAGGAAACGCATTGATGTTGCCATCGTGATTGGTACAGATTTAAATGTTTCATCGTATTATGTTTATCATAATTAGAAACATTTGATTCATTCATTCCTGTATCTACCTCATTAATATTTACATTATATACATCATTATATATATCATTAGGAAAAGCATTGAAAGGCGATAGATTTGCACTATTGCCGATTGTGTGGTGATTTTTATGCTCTTCATCTTTACTGCGCGGAGAGTCAATCATAGTCACCAAGTTCTCCAACCTTAGTAAGCTCGAATTTAATAAACATTTTTCTCCAGCTTTCGTTTCTACCTTTTCTGAATTTTCTAAGACTTCGTCTATTTCTAATTTAGTCTTTTGTTCTATGACGGCTACACTATCCTGATCTTGTCGTATAGTAAACATTAAACCTTCCATTACTAAATCGGTAATATTAGAGGAGCGTAAAACTTTGTCAGGTACGGTTTTTTTCTCGGAGTCCCTACCTTTTTGTTTACGAGTTTTGTACGACTTACTATGCATATGATTTTCTGACTGTTTATCGTCGATATCCATTGAAGTTTTACATTGTCTATTATTTTCTTGGAATTCTAAGTTTGTTTCATTGTGATCTTGATTAATGTATATAGACTTATCATTTTCTTCGATCATTTTTGGAACACAATCTTTATCTATATTCTTTATCTCGATCTTTTGCATCGGTTGATCAATAATTAAGTTGAATTTCGAATTCTTTATCTGTTTCTCAATAAAATTTTGATGTAATACATTGTTAGAATTTATATTTTCACTGATCGTCTTTTTATTATTATTTAAATTGTCTTTATTATTGATGGTGCAAATATCATCTTTTTGTATCGATTTTTCATCAAAATTGAATTTATTTAATGAGCATTCATTATTGCTACCTATTATCATTCCTGTAAGAGGAGATTTTAATGAAGAAGATATTGTGTATTTCTGTATATCTTGTGTTTGTTTCTGCTTCTGTATTAATGCCGATTCTGTTTTTACCTCTTCATTCATTTTCTGTGTCTTTTCAATTTCATTTGTTTCATTTGTTTTTAAAGATTGTTCTTGAACACAATCGATAGAATATTGTTCTATGTTTTTTTCATACATTTCAGTATTACAGTTTATATATTTATTTTCTTGTATATCATTATGAAATTCTTTATTATGTTTATCAATAAAATGCATTTGAGTTGTAATTGTGGCATTTTCAATTCTTTTATCTAGATTCTCGCGCAAAGACGCAGACTCCATTGTATCATCTTGAAAAGAATTGATTTTTGTTTCCAATGCTTTACTTAACGTCATGTTCTTAATGATATATTTTGCATGTATTTCTTTAGTATGACATGTTGTATCTTTCATTGGAGATTCCTTATCAGTGATAGATATCATGTTGCTAATAATTTTCTCTTCAGTGTCCAAGGAAATATTCAAATCTTTAAATGTAGTACCTGCGTCAGCTTCTTTGACAATGGGATATTTTAAATCGAATAACGAATGTTCCAACAAAGGAAAAGTCTTTATAGTCAATACAAACGCGTGTGAGAATGCTGCAGCATTAGTTCGTTGCTGAAATTTCATTATTGCAAACATTTTGTCTTGTCGAGTCCAAGATGTACAATCTGTATTTTTTAATTGTATTAGAGTAAAGGAATTTACACTTTAAAATAAGGATTGACTTATTCAAGAAAAGAATATTAATCGAATATTAATAAGAAAAGGATACTGTAAGTAACAAGAAGGTGTTGCGTGCCAAATTGTTGACCTTGCGTTGGATGACATTTTATAATTTTTCGTATAATTTTTAATAATTCTCGTCCATATGAAAATTGTATGATATTTCTAAAAATACAATCAAAATCAATTTTTTTTAATTAACAAGATAATACTAATGTCTTACTTCACTGTACGATGATATCTAAAGATGAACTTGTATATATTCTTTTTATGACATAGCCAATAAGCACCAGGAATAGTTAGCAGAGATTCTTTTTCGAGCCAATTAAATTGGCTAAGGGTTCGTATATGTATTCCAGGCATTTTCTTTCGGGTAATAAATCTTGAAATACTGGAACTAATCTTCTTGAATCCTGTCTACCAACTGATTCTTTTACAATAAATGTAAGACAATAAAGCACCCTTTGCTAAAAGTTAGAAGTTGAATTAGTTTATTTTTCATAATATAAAATGCAGACATGCATATATAAACTTACTCCTTTTATGACTTCATTGATAAATATATCTTCTATTATATCCCATGGTAAGAATTTTATTGATGTAAATATACCAAATCCTCTTTTATTTTCGATATGTACACCTACTGATTTAACAACCAACAATGTATCTATAAAATATATTATTACAATATATTATTACAATATTATTTATTATTATATTATTTTAATACAATATATTGTATTAAAAAATCTGTATATAATACAATCTGTTTACTTATTATAAGATGATTTCTGTTAGAAACTTGACTTTACAGTAAGAATTCAAATTTACCCTGTTTGATAGAAGTGATGAATGATTTACATTGTAGTATCAAAAGACATGCTGATACGATAAGAGGAAGTGAAGCTCCTGACACAAACCATATAAAAAGAATTGCACAGACTAATGTTAAACATAAATTGACATTAAAATGCTTTTCACTTCGTAAAGCAAAGTTTATGATGTCGACATTGGATAGATTCGAGCTTGTTTTTTCTTTTAATGTTAACTGTATTCCATTGGCATTTCTGAAGAATGCTTCAGTGGTGAGCGACTGTGTTAGAAAACTCGACGACATCAATGACGATTCTGTGTACAAAACACCGTGATGAGCATTAAATTTTAATAATATACAAATAATAAAAATACAACTCCGTTAGAAAATAAACTTTGCTTATTCTTTAGATTTTTATAACTTTTTGAAACATATTTATGTGACTCAATATATACTGACCGTTTATTTTTTCAATTATATACTAAATCAAATACTAAATCAAATGATCACAGTATTTAAAATGTTGAATTCGCATTCTTATGTAAAATATAAAAAATCTCGATTAGAGAGAGAGAAAGAGAATAGTAATTGAACAAACACAAATGTAATTCTCGACCATCTTCCTACAGTGGTATTCTTGGTTATCAGATCACCTAATGTCCGCGTGGCGCTGATGACAGTCACTGTCCACACTATCCGGTCCATAGACTTTAATAAACATAGATTGTGCATTTCAATCATGTTGAAAGCTAATTATTCAAATATTTGTTGTGAAAAAATATTATTAAACCTGTGAAAAAGCTATTGGAACAAATAGTATATATACAATATTTAATTTTTTTTCTAATAATATTTTTCCATAAGAAATATTAGGCTTGTTCTTTTTGGTTGAATTTTTGCACTAATTTATCTTTTTCCTTCTTTTTTCCTTCTGAAGAGAAAACGGAAGAAAAACAGATACAAAAATTCAGCTAAAAAGAACAGACTTATTAATAATTGAGAAATTCATCCATAGTCGATATCCATAGGCGATAATAGAAGAGTGTTAAATTGAACATATTCCAAATTGAACATATTTAACACGTTCCAAATTGAACATATTTAATTACTTAATGTTATAAATAATTCGAAGCATTTTTTGATTGGTCAATAAAATTGGTTAATAAAATTCTTTTTTCAAACAAAATTCTTTTTTAACTTATAACATCTTAAAATTGACAGTCTACTTAAGATAGTCTTAAGATGTCGTAAATCAATCCTGTATAAGAAAACTGTATAAACATCTTATATTTAAGACGGTTTTAAAATAAAAATGGACTATAAATATATCATGCATGTTTAGCGTTTCATAGTGGTAGTTCCCTCCTTGGCTGTGCTCCAAAATTGACTGCCAGTACTGAAAATCTATAGTGCATGTAACATAGATTGTAACATTTTCAGTGCAGTAAATTTGGAACACGATCCTTAAGATCGGAATCAGACTATGCATTGAAGATTGAGATTAAAGATTAAAGATTGAAATTTCACTAATGAGGGCAAAGAAGTTTTGATTCCTTTTGTTTGTCTGTTTTGATTACTCAAACTTTAATCTTTTAATTTTCAATCTTATTCTTCAATGCGTAGTCTGATTCTGGCCTGAAACACAGAAAAATGTAAGACCGTAAGACGTAATCAATAAGCGAATAGCCCAATCATGATAGAGACCGTAAGGCCAGTAACGAATCCAATCTTATGCACGGTCTACAATGGGCAGTAGCAGTAGTAGATTAAGAAGTAGGAGTAGAAATCGACTAATAGTTGAATGTGAAAAAAATAATCAATTATGATTGGTCGATTTTTACGTCTTATTGATTTTTTACTCTTTAATCAACTACTATTACTGCCTATTGTAGACCATGTTTGCGCAATGATTCACCTTATATAATATAATATATATTTCATCATGCAACCAACTACAGTCAAGTTTTCCCCTGTTACAGTCGACAGGGGAATGTTCGACTGTAGTTGATTGGTTCTTATATTCTGATCCGAATTAAATCCTCGGTGGAAACTAGGCCACTATCCAACTACACACATTGATTTATATATACACACTGAAATGGGCATCGAGGAAAATTCGTGGCCACATTGATCAGCCGCCATTTTAATTGAGACGATGGATGTGGTCGAGTTGCCTATACTATGAATACTTCGATGCATTTGATTAACCAATCAGAAGAAAGAATTTTACTAATTGACCAATCAAAAAAATGCTTCGAGGCATTCATAACGGCAACTCGATGCTGTACCCGATATTTGAACGAATCAGAAGCGTGAAAATTTTAACCATTGAAATTAATAGAGAAATTTTTAGCCATTGTTAATGGCTAAAAAAATTTTTCAGTATTTCAGTGAAAATTTTAACCATTAAAGTTAATGGAGAAATTTTTCACTTTTCACTTTTCATTCTAGGGATAAAGTTTTGTGATTGATACCCAGTGCTTCCACCATGGACTCTGGTGATATTATAATAATTGTTGTGAGTTGACAGTCTTTAATGTATCTTATCAATGATATAATCTATCTAGAATGATCACGTGATCATGCATGAAAATTGGTGCTAGAAAAACGTGTTCTTTTCTCTTGTATCCTACCGTTCTTTGACGCAGATCTGTTTAAAGAATCACGAAAATGGCAGAGGTGAGTTTTCGAAATTTAATATTAAATCCACGAAATTCTCACACATCCATTATGCAAAGTATATTTGCATTAATCATACATTTTACTTAATTGTCAAAATATACTGTTAGAATAATATTGATATACCCATATATTTGGTTGTTATATTGTCATATTGTGTATCTAAATATCAAATTATTTTTTTCTATGTGTTTTTTACAGGCAGATGAAACTCAAAAAAAGAAGAGGACTTTTAGGAAGTTCACCTTCCGAGGGGTTGATCTTGATCAACTCCTGGATATGCCAAAGTAATATTGATTTTCTGAATATAACATAACCTATACAACAATTACTTGACCTTACGAATTATAATCTACGCTCGTAATAATCATAAAGATCGCTTCTAATAATTTTAAAATTGAACAATACTTATTTAATTATTTAACATTAACAGTTTCATTTTTATAATATAAATTTTTTTAATTCGAAATAAATAAAATATTTGTTAACCTGAATGAGGAATTTCATCAACCAATAATTTTTTCCAGTGAACAGCTGATGGATTTGATGCATGCTAGAGCACGTAGACGCTTTTCTCATGGCTTGAAAAGAAAGTCTATGGCTCTTGTCAAGAAACTACGCAAAGCAAAAAAGGAGACTCCACCTAACGAGAAACCTGAGATTGTAAAGACGCATTTGCGTAACATGATTATCGTCCCAGAAATGGTTGGCTCGATTGTTGGTGTATACAATGGTAAAACTTTTAACCAAGTTGAAATCAAACCAGAAATGATTGGCCATTATCTTGGAGAATTTTCTGTTACATACAAACCTGTCAAACATGGTAGACCTGGTATTGGTGCTACTCATTCTTCACGATTTATTCCACTCAAATAAAATGTATTTGTCTATCTTGTACCAATAAATTATCAAAAACTTTACAGAGTCCCTACAATGAGTCAATTTTCTCATATTTTTTTACAAATATTTACATAAATTAATTCATAGTGTTATAAAAAAAAATTCGATATATATTTTTACGAAATGCATTTTAAGAACAATTAAAAATATATAGTTGAGACACTAAGACATCATTAATTAATTTGTGAATAAATATAGAAAAAGTGAATATAAGTGATATTAATAAATATAAAAACTATTAAGGAATCTTTATATTGAAATATCTTGTGGACTATATCCTTGTGTATTTATCCACTGTAAACTATGCATTTTAAGATTTTGATTCAAGAGAATTTATTAAATATTTTGCAAATTAATAGTAATAATCATATATATGTATGTGTATATATATATATATATATAACT